ATTTGAAAACGCCGGCTTTGCATTTTAGTGTGGATAGGAACCATTTTGAAAACGAAGCTTTTCAAAAACGGCGAGGTTACGAGAATTGTGATATTTCCCTGCCGGAGTTTTCTTCAAACACAAATCCAAAACAGACCGGCGATTGTCAGTTGCGTTTTCAAATTTCTCCGGCGTAGTGTGGACGGAGCCGAAATCGAACACACAAGACAGGTCACGTAGAGAGGGAGCCAATGTTCCAACTTTTACAATTTGCAGAATATAGAACTACCAAAATCATCACAAATTAAATAAACTGGTACTCCCAGCTGTTTTGTTGTACTGAAAATATATTATAGAATTAATATTCTTCAGGGTCAAGAGCAGATTTCATCATTGGTTAGTGTTAGTTTAGGCAGACGCTGCTGTAGTGCTTTAAATTTATTTGTTCTCATGTATGTATCTGTCTTGTTTTTTTACATGCACGGCAATCGCCGGGAGGCGGTCCACAGTCCGCTCATCCCATCTCCCGCTGTGCTAAAGTAGAACCCAGTCTTCTGAGTCGACTCAGGATCAATTGTTCCTTTGTGGAGAATTACACCTGGAACACATTTTAGCTGTATACCATTCACTTAGCCTAGCGTTGGTACTGCGCAGTCATAACCCTCTGTCCGTAATCAAAGCTTTATTGGAAGTGTCTTTAGAGTGATCGTGGCAGTAAGGCGCAGTTCTGCACCAGGCCATATCCGAGTTGGCTTTTGCCTCTGTTTCAAAACGAGTCCTCATGCAATACGATTCTTATGAAAATGAATTTGATTTGCGTGAAAATGAACTTTCAGAACAAATGCATTTTCATAGCAATGGTTTCGCCCTAATACTCGTTTTCACACAGAGGCAAAAGGCTACTCGGAAATGACTTCTTTTTTCTTTAGTGGCAAAAGCATCAGGTTAAAGGTCCCATAATGTTGACATGGAATGTATGTGGGATTATTGCATATTTCAATGTCTTGTTTGTTGCTTAAATAGTAACTCGCCTTCACTAGTATTTCAGTGGCACAGACATTGGTGTCGTTGATGATCTTAATTTATTACCCCTATTTATTGCCTGTTTCCTTTTTGTAGCAGTCAACAGCTGATTCCTCACAAACATGGACGAGCTGCTTGTAACAAGACTATCGGATGTCTCCTGTGTATTTAGAAGATTACAGCCAAGGGTGTCATAAATAGATGTCTCCAACATGGAATACATTCTGTCAAAAGTAATGTAGACGCTACTGAAATTTCTTTAATTTTATTTGTTTACCGATGTATGTGACTGTCTTGTTTTTTACATGCACGGCAATCGCCGGGAGGCGGTCCCCAGTCCGCTCATCCCATCTCCCGCTGTGCTAAAGTAGAGTCCAGTCTTCTGAGTCGACTCAGGATCCACAGTTCCTCTGTCGAGAATTACACCTGGAACATTTAAGCTGTAAACTTCAAAGGCGTCGCAGTTTTCAAGTTTGTGATCCATCTTATTTTATTTGTCCTCAGTGGTACCAATAGGGGCTGGATGGCGTCGCACGAATCTCAGTTATTAGTAAAATCTTCTGCGATTTCTCAGCCATCTCAATATATTGCAGCCCATTTTTCAGATATCAGTAAATTTTGCATATCTCGGATCTAAACTATTAGTTGAAATACTCGCCATTTCTCAGCTGCTAATTACTAATTTAGCCAATTTTCAGTCCAGGCCCTCAACCATCCTGGTACTTCTTCGATTATTTATTCAACTTGAAAGTAGTTTCGTGCATCTAAAATATAGCTTTAAATACTTTGACATTGTCCTTGTTTCTAAAATTTCCTCTGCAGTTGAAATCGTTTAAGGGAATTTATTTGATCAATTGATCTAAAGATTTTATTTACTCATCTCTTTTATGTTATTATCTGTAGTGTTCGGAGGCTTCAAAAAAAAGCTTGAATTAAGTTGACTTTTTCTGCCTTCCTTTTAATCTTATTGCAGTTCCCTTGTGAGATTTGGTCCTTTGTGAGAAGAAGAGGAGAGCTAGACAAAGCCCATCCCCCGGTAAATTCGAATTCTTTTTGTTTTTGTTGCTTTTGTTTTTGTTTTTGTTTTGTAACAAGAAATGACGTGCACGGCAATCGCCGGGAGGCGGTCCCAATCCGCTCATCCAATCTCCCGCTGTGCTACAGTNGGAAAATTTACTGCGATGATCATACTTCACTTTCATCTACTACCGCAGTTCAAATATGAATTATTTCATATATACTTCACAATATTGCTCATGTTACTTTTCTAAAGATTCCATATCGGTATCCTAACTTCGCTCAGAGAGTTTTATAAAATATACATGTAATAAATCAAATCACTGAGCCTTGAAATGAATTAATACTATCTTTTGTCTCTGCCTCGGTGCCAAATTAACATTATGGCTTTTAGTGCATGTAATATATCAGTTTTGTTGTTTTAATAATAGTTGTCTTAATTTTCCTATTTTTGTAACTTTACTCTATCGTTACAGTTTGCCATAGACATGAAATTGGGTGTCCTGTGAGAGAAAGAGGAAAAACGGACCGCGTTTAGTCTTTGGTAAGATTTTATGCGTCGTTTTGCCAGTTTGTTAAGGCGTTTTACGTTATTCATGTCACGTGCACGGCAATCGCCGGGAGGCGGTCCCCAGTCCGCTCATCCCATCTCCCGTTGTGCTACAGTAGAGTCCAGTCTTCTGAGTCGACACAGGATCTAAAGTTTCTGTATCGAGAATTACACCTGGAACAGTCCTTAACGTTTTAAATTCCTTTTACGTTTTACACATGAAGTATTTAACAGCTTCCTCTTCACCTCCCTGAGATTTCTGTTCGCATAGATAATGACTTGGTCATCAGGGCTGGGTTGTTCAAAACTCGATGAAGCTGACTCAAAGAATTTCGATATCAGTTATGTAACTTTTTGGTGAGGTTTTCTGTTTATACTTTTTTTTTTTTAGTTTTGAGTTTCAATAATCTCAAACTACACAAAACATAAGCGATGAAAAACATTTTTAAACAAGAAAAATTAATACGTTGATCAACTTTTAATCCCGCGGCTAGCGTTAACCGGCTTTCGAACAACCCGACCCAGAAGTACTCGCTGACTTGATTTGAGAAACAGCTGGTGCAATTGTGTAAAAGGGATAACATTATAACAGATCGATCAGTGTTTCAAATAAATGACTTGGTCTCATATAGAAGACAAATCTACGTTTCCAAGGATGGGTCTTGTAGCTCGTAACAACGGGCATGTATTGGTAAAGAAGTTATATGTGTAAACGATATCGCTTAACATATACCGCTAGCGCTGCGAAGAACAAAATATGAACGTAAACTCATTATCAATTACTTGCTTGTCTCTCAAGGTCTGTCACGCGACGTTTCATGCACAACATCCGCCTGACTTGGTCACGAAACTGACTGTGCCTGAAGCCATAGATCCAAGGGTTTGTCACGCAACTGATGCTCATGAGAAAGGCTGCTGCNTTTTTTTTTTTTTTTTTTTTTTCGCAAGACTGGCAAGGAGACTGTTAATTAACTACTGAATGGGTATTGTTTGGCTGAATGTTTCGACAATACACGAACACCTAGACATTTAAGGAGACCCAACGAAACGTTCGGTAAACTGTCTGTTCGCAAGGACTTAAATCCCCGTCGATTTTTTTTTTTTAAGAGAATTGTCAGCTCGAATGTTTCTGATACGAGATATTTAAAGCCACTTGTTTTCCTATTCCAGTACCGAGAAAAGGTCACGTATGATTTTCGAAAAAGCAATAAGACCTAAGATTTTCGGGAAATGAACAAAAAAGCCCTACTTAGTTCCCTTGAATGTCCACAATTGCGAACATTTCTCTACGGAACTTTCAAAGCGTTTTAAAAAGCATTTGAGAGAAAGCCGTCATTGGTTGTCCCTACTTTTCAGGCACACTTGAACAATTTTCTTAAGACTGGCAAGGAGATTATTAATTAAGTAAGTAACTGGTGAAGGGATATCGCTTTGCTGAATGTACCTACATTACACGAACAAGTCAGTAGATATTCCGATACGTACATAAGAGATTAGATAACACGGAACTAGTTCTATCGTAGTTTGGCAATGTTCCTTATTTATGGAATGACCGGTCCCTCTGTTGATTTCATATTTCCGACAATTAGCTCAAGAATAAAAAAAAATTCCCCATTAAGAGAGCATTCGAAAGTCTATTTCGGCGGATAAAAGCGTATCTTTTATCAACCGGCAAGTCAACAACGATTATTTCCCACTGACCTCATTCCCTTGAAAAGGTTTCTAAAAGCCTCTTTAAATAAAAAAGTTTATTAAATCCTAAAATCCTATCATTTGTGCCAAAATTTAGGCAAACAAAACAAAACAAACCAAAACAAAAATGCGATACTGGAAATGATGTTTAGTGGCGAAAGTAATTTCTTACAAAATATTACACGTATATACAATGTTTGCCTTGAGCTAATAATCATGTTAGTATATAATGAAAGCTGATTTCCTTAAAAATGAAAAGTGTGCGAATTTTGGGTTGCAGATATGATCTTAAACGAAATAACTCTACAAGTTTCAAACATCTAAAGTAATTTTCTTAAAAGCAATAAACATTAATCAAAATACATTTTTGACTTGGCTATTATGGCGGCAATAGCGATCTTACTTAAATCGAGAGCTTTCAGGAGTGCAATTACTTTCAATCCTCCATCAGGGGCGAAACTAAAAAGCAAATTAAATCACCTCACCTCTTTCTTTAATCTCTCGTTATTCTCTGCACTCATTGATACCGGCAGACTTCGAACGCTTATCTGGACCACTCGCTGCTTGCTTTTCTTCATAGCCAGGTAAATCTTCATGTAGCACCAGATTAGGACGGAAAACGGGGCTGCAATAAAGGCTATCACGAGAAAACTCGTGTAGGAATAACTGCTTCCCACGGCTATGAAACAAGTCGCGCGCGAGACGAAAAACCCATAATGACCCCACCCTAAATTTGGTGGAATAGCGATGGAAACAGCCAAGAACCACAGGGTGAAAAGCATAACTCTTGTCCGCCGCTGGCTGAAAAATGTCGCACTTTCGTTTGGTCGCACGATTAAAAAATACCTGTTTACGCTGATAGTTGTCACCGACATGAGCGACGCCACCAAAAAAATCAGCGTGTAGCAACCGTTTACACGACAAAACGTTTCACCAGAAATCCAGCGTCGTTCTATCAGGACGCCTGTGGAGACAGACAGGGTAAAGAAGATCCGAAGCAGATCCGAGATACTGAGATTCACAATCAGGTAGTTGGGGATTGTTTGAAGATGGCGATGCGTATACACCATGGCGCACACGCCAAAGTTACCGATGAGTCCAAAGATAATCAGCAGGAAGACGAAGATGACTTCTAGGATTGCCAGCAATGTCGATTCGTCATTCAAAGGAGGGAAAAGCGACGGATCTTCCATCGTTGATGGAGCGGTATTTGACGGTGCCGATTTTTTTGTAGATGAATTGGGTCTTGAAATTTATATCCTCTTTGACCGCAAAGGTTTTCCTCTGTAAACACGAGGTGGAATATGAAGATTTGCTCTTGCCAAAGATCTTGCCCACTTGACCGATTTCGATAAATGCGTGACGACGGTAATTAAAAAGCGAGAAATGAAATATCCCAAAGCAGTTCAAGTGCCTTTCCGTTAACGGTTTTTTTCGAGATGCCGGTCGTATACAACACGTTGATGAATGTAATACGTAAATGCCGTGCCATAAATTTTATATTTTACCGGTCTTGGCGTCTCTGAGAGCGAACAATATGTAATAATTGACACCTGCCGGCGGGCAGTAACTATTCTGATTACTTTTCTTAATTTCTCTCTTCTTAAAGTAAACCATATTGACACAAAGGAGCAATGACTTAAGAGCTGGCCGATGCCTCCATTTACTCAAGGCAGAAAACTGTCAATTTGGATCAAAGATTTACGTAGACGCATAGTCAATACCGTGAATATATATCCGTCTATATCTTTAGACATTTGGTAATTTCAAATGCAAATCAAAATCCACGGCACAGGGGGAAGAATCCGGTTAATATGAGAGAATTACGAAAAGCCTAAATTGTATGAAGTTTTACCAAGACCATTAATCGGCACCCAAGTCAGCAAATTTAATTTCTGTCACATCTTAAGCGCCCTGAATAGGCCTCTTACGAGTTTTTAAAAGCTTAGTAAAACAAAAGGATCTGTCGAATGTTTGTTACGAAATATCTTTTGGCAAAGATGTTTCCGTTCAAAGGAGGCTCCGTGCACCAAAACTTACAGATGTTACAAGATCTTACGTGCACACAGCGTAATATATCGTAAAGTGTAACAATATATATAGCTCGAACATATTTCTTTTGAAATTGGGAGCGTCACTAAAAAACGTGAAAATAGACTGTAAGACCAATCAGTTGATTTGTTATGTGACACAACGCTATGTCAAAGACTTCTTGTCTAGCACCTGCATGTACTGTCGTGCCTTGACGAATACTAAGATCAACAAGGGAAACAAACTACATGCAACAACAACATGTAGAGCAGGGAAAATAACAACCAACAGCGACAGAAACTACAAGAGGAACAACAATAGCAACATTGTTTACGGCAAAAACCGACCAGAGTAAAGAACAACAACAACATGCAACAGCAGCACGAATAGCTGGGAATATAACAGGAAAAAGAAAAAAATTATAGCACTTTATCTATTAGCCCTAGTGATAGACCAGCAATTTACGTCTAACTTGTACCTCCAAAAATGAACTGAAATAAAACCTCAAGAAACAACAACAAAATAAAAAGCCCACAAGTCCAACATTTTCTACAATTTTGTTTTAATTATATAACAAGAGCTCTTCTTCAAAAAATATGCTATCAATATCATAAAAATAGAAAAGTTCAGATTATCTAAAAAAGACCTGAACATGGGTTTCTTTCAATTAATCAGCACCAAATATGAAAAAAAGGAACATATTTTGGGTGCTGGATTTACTTGTGGATGGTATATTTAATTCACCCCACATAACACTATTGATCCTGGACTGTCGAAGCCACAGCTCCGATTAGCCTCCGGCGAGTCACGCAACGGTTCGTGACAGGCTGACAGAACAGCGTTCAAAAATATCACTATCAGTTCTCTTTTAATGACTAAATTCAGTACTAGAAAAGCTAAATAATTAAATTTTAATCGTAATGCCTTATAAAACGAAGTCTTCAATTCTTCGACTGGGAGTTGAACAATCGCTTACAATTTCACTAAAAACCAAATCACTGCCGCTTTGCTGACTGCAAGAGTCTTTCTTTTCTCCTTTTAGAAAAAACAACTGCAGTAAGTCAGTCTTGGGCTTACAACGCACGTACCTCACGCTTGCCATGCGCCGACCTCCTGCTGGCCATGCGCACACCTCGCGTTTGCCGCGCGAGTCTCACGAGTGGATCTCGCGTTCCTGCCTCATTCATAACTTTTACACGTCCTTTTTCGTAAGGAGCGCTCGTCAACCGACTGTTGTACAGTCCAACTGATTCACAAAGCTAAATCCTTCATTACCGGCAGATTTTCATTTTAACTTATATAAAATCAGCTTCAATTATACAAAACGTTCGTTCTTTCTGGATATCGCAAAGCTATCGCACCAGTAACATTGGAAAAATAGACTTATTCTAAACTTCGTATAAAAATAGATAATTTCAATTCTGTTCGCATTGCTATAATGTTTGTCTTATTAACGCATTTTTTCTCCCTTCAAAAATCGTTTTCTTGTCAAAATATAATTGATATACGAACTTGATTTTATTTCTTCGAGTTCGATAATTAATATTTCTGTTTCCCACACATTTTGGTTATTTCTCCCCGAGAGAATCTATTTTCCGGTCAGAAAGTCTTTCCAGGGGTCCATTACTCAGATCCATTACTCTCGCGGTTATTTAAAATAGTTTAAGAGAATTTAACAATCCATCACTGATTGGATTAACCCATTGGGAGCCCCTTACTGGAAGTTTGCATATAAATCAAACGAATCCAAGTACTCTTGCAGCGTCGTGTAGCAGAATTCGTATTGCTCCTAAAAAGGAACAGAAAGAGGAAGTGAGCAGGAGGAAATATTTCTGTCGTACGTGCCTTCGTTCGTTCGTTCGTCGTTCCTCCTTTCATTCTTTTGTTCGTTCTTCCGTTCTTTTGTCTTCGTCTTTTTTGTTGTTCGTTCGTTCGTTCGTTCGTTCGTTTTTCTTTGTTCATTCGTTCCTTTCTTCATTCGTTCGTTCGTTCGTTCGGTCGGTCGTTCGTTCTTTTCTTTATTCATTCGTTCGTTTGTTCATTCGTTCGTTCGTTCGTTCGTTCGTTCGTTCGTTCGTTCGTTCGTTCGTTGTTCATTCGTTCCTTTCTTCATTCATTCGTTCGGTCGTTCGTTCGTTCGTTCGTTCTTTTCTTTATTCATTCGTTCGTTTGTTCATTCGTTCGTTCGTTCGTTCGTTCGTTCGTTCGTTCGTTCGTTCGTTCGTTCGTTCGTTCGTTCCCTCTTTCCTTCCTTCCTTTTGCACGAATCCCGATCAGTGAGAATATTTCACGATTTTTCCTGCAATTTCAATGACTTAATATTCTCTTTACTTACCGCGGTTTGCACCATTGCGGGCCTCTGAAGTCTCATGGCCTGAACTGTCTGGAAAACGTCAATCACTCCCTCGGCCTTCAGACGCTCGATCATCATACTGATTCCACAGAACACTCCTGTACGACCGACACCACCACTGCCAAGACATAATTAATGAACTAATTAATTGAAGGAGTTAAATTAATGGAATCGAGTTTAGTTAATTGGATCCGGAATTTTATAATCATAGAATTTGACGGCACTGCTCACCTGCAGTGTAGGACAATAGCTGTATTACCGCTCTGTTGCTGCCATTTCTGTACTTGACCAATGAGGTCCACAATCCCCACTCCAGAGTCCGGCAGTCCAGTATCTGGCCAATCCGTGTACTGAAATTGACATACGGTGCGAGAGTCTTTCTCCTGCAATGCAACGATTGTAAAGATTATGCATAATAGAATCGGAATGAGACATACTGTTAAGAAATTGTAAAATTGCAAGAGCTGGAGTATGAAATAAAATTGGTTTGATCTTGCAACAGAATGGTGGTTTTGTTCAGAAGTTTGCGTTGGTTGAGATTTCTCACTAGCTCAAAAGGAAGTAGATCGCGCCCTAAAATATCAGAACGAACGTGCAAAACAGGGGAAAACAAAAGCAAGCAAGAACATAAACAAGCAAACAAACAGACAGACAGACAGACAGACATAAGCGTTTGTAAGAAACAAAGAATTGACAAGGATTTGCACGTTGAACAAATGCAACTGAAATGAAGCAAATCGGCAGCAAATATGGCATACCTCGGTGTGTGTGAGCTTAAATTTCCTGGAAATGTAATCGCCAAACGACGCTTCCTCTACTAGTTCAACAAGAATGACACCATACAAGCGAGATCCCTCGGAAGGCCAGTAACGATGGCACTTCACCTGAAAACAAACAAGGAGTCCACGCGTCACACAGTTCACATAAATCTCATTGTAAAAAGCTCTCTGAAAAAACCCGTAAAGGCGCTAAACTGAAAGTTTCTAACGGTGATATTTACTATGTAGATCCCACTCTTTGCGGTTTACAAGTACTTTGGACAATTTTTTTACCCGCTTTCCAAACGTCTTCGGTAGCTGACAACAAAATAAAGAGATGAACACATTTTACTCTGAATTGATTGCTGCCTAGAGCTTCTTTCTGCGCGATTTTTGGAATCCTCGGGGCAAGCTGATTTTGTCTCGAAATCTTTCGACTGCTCCCCAAGCTTCTTTCAGAGCAATTTACAATTCTCTTGAAAGAAAACGCAAGCACACTATTCATCCAAACAAATATTCAATCGCAGCTTGATTTTAAAACTTGATTCCGTCGTGTGACAGTTATCAATCGCAAGAGATTGTATGAAAAGACGTCAGTTTGGAAGAGAAGAATTCGTTGATAGTCAAAAAAATTTCTAAATGTCGCGAAAATGGCAATGACCGTTTACGAAACGGACAACTGCATCGTCGCGCTATAGTCGTGTCGAAGTCACTTACATGAAGTTCGACTCTTGAATAACGACTGCCCAACAACCAATTCAAAAAAAAATCATTGTTCGCGTGGACACTCAGTGACTGAGGTAACTAGTCCCAGGTCCGCTCTTTTCTTACCTTCCCGGCCTCCTCCTCTCTCGTCAGCATCACCACAGCAGCAGACTCTTGTTCCCACACCATCCGCCAAAAATCTTCAAACGTGTCGGGGACTGGGGCTTGGGTTGCTATGTAGGCTCTTGGCTGGCAGTAACCCTATAAATGAACCAATCACAACAAGCTGTCAGGAACTGCGGAAACGGGTTCCTACTTTTTTTTTTCTAACGACAGAAAATAGACGAAACTTTATTCTAGTAGCCTTTAGTAGCCTTCAAGCTTACTCACATCGATGAAGTTAGCATTGATGTAATCAGATCCCATTTCCCCAGGCCTCATCTTCAAATGTACTCTAGTGCTCTCAACTTGAAAGAAAAGAACGCGAAATTAGTTTTAATAAATTAATCATGTACGATGCTATGCGAGGTTATTATCCCGTCAGTTTCAAATACACAACATTGTACACGCAAATTTTGGGCCACACTTCTAGGATATTTTCACCACAATTGAATGGCTACAATAAAGTTCTATGAACCTACCAAAAATATGGGAAAACAAAACAATAAATGGCTCTTGTGGTCGATGGACGATTTAACTTTTTTTAAAATTAATGACCAAGCTTCCTATTTCCCAGTCATCATTGGCTCAAAGCTCTCGGCACCGTGAGATAAGTGCTTTACCCAAGTTCTCAACACAACAACCCAAGCCAGGGCTCGAACCCAGACCGCTCAATCCGAACTCCACTCCACTAACCATGAAGCCAACGCCCATATGATGACGGGAAAGAAAGCAATTTTGAAATGAAAAGATTTTTCCATGACTGTGTGAACTCTGAACACCAGATGGGGGAAGTTATCAGACAGGAAATACGGCACTTGCTGACAAAATACAACGAGCCAACACATTTGGTAAAGAGATTCAAAAAGTCAGACACTTACATGGCAGAATATTTGCATATCGATTCTTTGAAGTGTTGCAGTTAAGGCTGGCGCTCTTGAAAGCGATAGGATGATTCTCTTCTTTAGCCAACCGGCAAAACTCGTTTTCCAAATACGTATAACCGGTTTCCGAGTCGACTTGACGAAGTTCCCGTATGCGGGCGCCGAGATCTTTGGCCTCGACCTCAGTAACTCCGCAGGTGATGGCTTCAAGCAAGGCATCGTGAATGAACACGTACTGGGCCTAAAATGAAAGTAGAAGCAAGTCTTAGTTTAAAATACTAGTTATTCCAAACTGACTGTCGGCCAGATCTGTTAAGCGCGGGGAGCGGGGAGGGGTGGAGGGGGGAGGGGGGCAGGTGCCCGCGCTCACTTCACCCGGCTTTGGCAACCTTGACGTTTCCAAGGGAATCGAATTTTGACAGACGAATTTTTTTAACATCTGAAATTGTCCCGTTTGATTGACAAAATTTTACTTTCATTCAGTTATTGCTTTATTGATTTGAATTTCAGTAATACTTTCGAAGTCCCTTTTGAAAGTCTTCTAACGTTTGGAAAAAAATTGAGAACATCACATTAACCTGTAACGCCCCGTTTATGACTGGTGTAACAATTTGCTAGTATACGAAGACCATCTCCCCAACTGGATGTTGTTTTTATTTTCTTTTGTCACTGTTGTTTGATCAAGTATAAACACTGAAAGAAGAAGTTAGCCGTCAATCTAACGTACCTCAGTTTGCACCATGAAGTTTCGCTGATATCTCATTTGACGCACAAAACCAAACACATCAATACTGTCTTCCTGGCTTATCCTCTGTAGCATAACATCCAGGGTAATAAAAGTCCCCGTGCGACCAACACCCGCACTGTGAAAAAAGGAAAACGGTGGTTTAAGGATACAGAATTCTCTTATTACCGAGTTATTTATGGATTTATCTTCATATGAATCAGCGAAAATTCAGGACAAGATTCACTAGATGATTGTTTTGAAAATACCGCCATCGTTAAATCACCGGTTCACATGCGTAGCTTGCGAAACATACGCTAGTAGCTAATGCTTTGGTGATGAAGACTTCGATACAATAGATGTCAAATATGTTTCCGAGGTGAGCAAGAAACGGCTGTAAAATTGAGCCCTCTCCGACCGTCCGAGAGAAGGCAGCAGTAGCAACAAGAACAGCAACAACAAATGAGTAAACTTAGTAAACTGATTTAGGTTAAACACCGCCAACTGAAAAACGAGGCTAGTATCGACCATAAACAGCTTTCAAACCTCATATGGTGTAATACATGTACATGAAGTGTATAAACTGCCAGTAGCTAATGTTTCCGATCGCTCAGCTTACGATGATTCCGGCACCCCTTCCCGGAGGGGGAAAGTTAATGTTTACCCTTGCCTGCTCAGACATGTCTGGTTTCTCTAGTTAACACCCACACTACGACAATAAAAATCCACCATACCTGCAATGTACCACCATTGGACCGATCGATTCTCGATTGGAAGAGAACGTGTGACGCACCAGCGATAGCAGGGGGGTGGAGTGGGACGGTACCCCGTGATCTGGCCACGCCGTAAAATGGAACTGCTTAACGACACGTTCATCGTCAGGGTACTGACAAGAGGACAAGAAAACAGTGTTAGTGTGTAGTATAAAAGTGTACTCGAGCCATCACTTGATTGGAGAGCTTGTGGACTGTTGGCAATCTGTTTTTCCATAGTTAATAGAGGAAATGGTTAAGATGCTCGGTAAACATCAAAAATGCAAGTTACAAACAGGATAAGATTTATGTTGGAACGTCCTTGACCCTGCACATCTTTTGTTTTATGCTAATAGACTATGCATGAATTACATAATCGCAATAGTTCTATTGGTTAGTTGTTTGGGCACACATAACCCACCTTTCGTATTTTACCAGGCTTTGTGCGGGGTCAACCCCCAAAATAGCCAACAAAAGCATACAACAAACAACTTTGCCAGGTTTAATAACCATTCCCTTCATAAACTATGGTGTTTCTCTCGAAATTCGGCGGCAATTATGAGGCAAAGGCGCTTTAGACCAAAAGGGAATGGGGCGAGGTATGGGAAGGGCACGCCTCAGTTCCTTCTCAGTTCTCCCATACTACCCTTTTGCGTTCGCGGCCATCGTCGATAAACACTCGTCGGACCCTGAGAGAAAAGACCTGCTGCCGGGAATCTAGAAGGTTAGGGTCATTACGACTTTGAAGAATTGTCAAAACACGATAGCTTACCATTTTGTGAGTCATCACCAACTTTCTCACGGTGTAGTGAGACATGTTGAGAGTTTCTTTCAAGGTCACTTGAACCTGACCGTAATTCCTCGTACCACGTTCAGGCCAGTACTGCATTTGTAACCGCTGGAAAAAAAAAAAAAAAAAAAAAAAAGAGGACGACGATTGCGTGATTCGACGAGTTATTAGTCACGCACTCTTTCGTTCTTCTTTTGGACCACAAACATTCAGGACTACATCTAAAAACTCACAACATGGACCATCATAGAATCTTGCCGAGTTCAAAAGGCTTCATGTGATCACCATTCTCTTTATTGGGCAAACGATCAGGCGGAAGCCCCTAGTATATAGGTTATTTCCGAGCGCTTTACATTACTTGACAGTTAATCCTTTACTTCCCTTTTCTTAACCCTAACGCCGAGTAACGCAAAGTTGAGTACTACATCCTTGTTGGAAATTTCGTGACAAACAAAGCGTAACGCCACAGGCGTAGTGCTCGCTAGTATTTCTCCCAGTAGGTCACATAGCGCGTCTCCCTAAAGGCATTGCGTGAGAACCCAAATGAGAGCTACGAAGGAGACACAATTTTCTTAAGCTGGAGAAGAGGAAAAAATACTTACCCTCCCCCTCTCTTCTAATTTTGTCAGCATCACGATAATGGACGACATCTGTTCCCAGATCATGCGCCAGAAGTCATCAAACGTTTCCATCAGCGGTCCTATTGCAGAACAACGGTGAATGAGAAACATCTCCAAAACTCACCTTAGACTCTAGAACAAGTTCTAAAGAAACGATCGCAAGGGTCCGGTTCGTTGCTATTTTGTTTTTCGCTCTGTTCATTCATTTTTGGTTTGCCTTTTTTTATCAAAGCGACTCTAGAACAAGGGATGTTTTAGACAACCGTATGCTTAACATACTCATTAGGCCAGAAAAGACGAACAACGTAGAATATTCAAATTCAAAACTTCTCCTACCTTGTGCCGCTATATAGGCGCGCTGCCTGTTGTAACCCTAAACATGAAAGACAAAGATCAAAAAAACGTCAAAGAGCTTCGCCGAGGAGTGGCAATTTCATGTTTCTGCGTGTTCAGAAATGTATATGGCAGTGTGTTTATGCAGAACACATGAAAATATCGAGAAAAGAAAGAAAACACAATCCGCGTACAGTTAAAATAAAAATCAACTGAAACCACACATTTGCTGCAACAAATACTTGGTTGCGTTTTTAATTTAAATCTGCAAAACTCACATCGAGAAAATTAGCATTGATGTAGTCAGATCCAGGTACGCCGTCAATCGGGTTCAGGAGCACTCTGGTGTGGTCATCTACAAACGAAGGGTACAATTTTACGTTCCTACTGCCAACCGATAACAAAAACAACAACAACAACAACAACAACAACAACAAGAACAACTCAAAGTCGTGAAGAAAATGTGTAAAAAACAACCTACATGCAACAATGTTGGCGTATCTGTTCTTGTATTTGTTGGCAGGATTCAAGAATTGCTGGAATGAGAATTCTTCATCGGGTTGGACAAGCTGCAAAAGAAGAGAAAGTATAAACAAGTGAGTAGAGCCATGCAGGCACATCACAGGCAGCCCAACCTCATTGGTGGAAATTTGGTACAGACAACGAGTCCTATACACTAAACAGTCCGGTAAAGTAGCTAAAGCTAAGTCTTTTTACGAGCTAAGTGGCCCATCGGGCCGACGCTTATCTCCGGTTTCTGTTGCATGAAGCGACTAGGAGTATTTCTACTCCCCCCTGGATGGGATGCTAGTCCATGGCAGGGTTATCCACAACAGTAAATTCGCCGGTAACCAGTTATGCTTGTACTGGGTGGAGAGAGGCACTGTGACAGTAATGTGTCTTGCCCAAGAACACAACACAATGACCCCGGCCAGGGCTCGAACTCGGACCGCTCGATCCAGAGGCGAGCGCACTAACCACGAGGTCACCGCACCTTCACCAGGCGACGGAAGATGACGTTTATTCAGCAGTGAGGGAGAATTAAGCAAGTGAATCGTACCAGATACTCCTCGGAGAAGCCATGATCACCGTCCATATGCATTCGATCCACGTGTCTTTCGAAGTCATCAATTGGAACGGGGTGACGCCCTAAAAAATCAAAATTGACAGGAGTTCAGAGAAAACCAAATATAAGTCTCAAGCTTTGAGCTTTGTCATTTCCATGTCAGTCAGCAGTAATCGTAGACATAGAAGTCAACAAATATGCCGGGAAGGGGATTAAAACACCCAGCAACAACAACAGCAACAGAAACAACAACACAAAAAAGAACAACACAAACACAAACAAACAAAAACAACAACAACAATCACAAAAAAAACAAAAACAAAAACTAAAACAAAAAAATCAGCAACGCTGGAGATTCCCGTATCAAAGACCTAAACTAAGTAAAAATTACGGTAACTGTGGGTACGTGCAAATGTCCGTGTTTTCAGTTGCTTTCCTTCAGAGATTTTTAAAATACGACGCTTCTGATGTGTTTGGTCTTCGAATGATTAATATTTATCCTTAATCATATCTATTTGCTACCCTTTGGCGGCATATCGAGCGAGTTTGGTCCGGCCATTTACCCATGGCGAGACCAAACGGGTATTTTACCGTACCTAATTCGGCCAAGTGACCATAATGTCGTGCCCATATCAGGTCAGTGACTTGATATTGCAGGATATCAGGACAGAAGACACGGCTTCTGATTGCTAATTGCGAAGTTGGGTACGGTAAGGTACAGAATAGTGACCCGTAGTAGGGCAGATATTCAGATCTGGGAATAATTAGACCGACTAACAAAGAATTGGAATAATACAATACGTTAGTAAGCCTTGGTCTGGTGCAAAGGACTCCTGTCGTAGATATGAAGCTACCGTCTTGTAACGTACATGTATTTTTATCCAAATTTGCCGCTCGCAATTTATAACATCGGCCAATGTGCCAGGCGAATTTCAAGGTGCTAAAAAGGTAACAAACATCGAATTCATAATGGAGAGAGAGAATCCGTCTGAGGCTTAGAGAAAGAACAGTAATATATTTTCACTAGGATTTTCACTCCGACAAACAATGCCCTTACTATGATAAGATATTGGAGAATCAGCCTGAGGCGACTTGGAGCGGATAGCTCCAGGGAAGAAGATTGCTTCATCGCAGTCGGCAGGAGGGTGGGGCGGAGCAACACGACGGTTGTCGCCTTTTGACAAGACTGAGCGAGTGGCGTGTGATGAGGACTTTTATGCTGAACACGAGGTGTTGGGTTACGTAATAAGTCCCCGTAGATGGGATACTACACGCCGAATGGTTAAATTGAAGAATGAAGGGGGCACAGCATGCGGGAACCCAGGAAAAATAGTTCTCTAACACGTCTGATAATTAGTCGATGCATAAATACCGGTAAACAGAAGGATTATCCGCCAATAGAGACTATCTGCTTAGTTCATATTGCTAAACAAACCAAAGTGGAAAATTCGTCTCGACGTCTAATCTGTCTGTTTGTCCATATTTAGGGCCCGTCCACATTATACCGAAAGAATTTGAAAACGCCGGAGTCCTATTTCTCCGGTTAGGCCTTCCGTCCACAATTATCCGTCAAGAAAACGGAGCTTATCGAAAATGTTCCTCAAGCCGGCGGGATTGAAAACGCCGACTCTGCTTTTTAGCGAGGACGAAAACTATTTTGAAAACGAAGCTTTTCGTAAACGACGACGTTTCGATAATTATGATATTCTCCTAGGCCTGCCTGAGTTTTCCTCAAACGCAAATCAAAATTGACCGTTGATTGTTGCGTTTTCAAATTCCTCCCGTGTAGTGTGGACGTGTCCTTAAACACAGGGAAATTATCAGACACAGGGATAATAGGTCGTCCCGCATTTATGCTAATCAGATAATCCATTTCAACGAGCGCTCCGTCTGAACAGATGATTCGTCGCTGGTAGAAATGGAGCTATTAGCGCTTTTGTGCGCTGGATGGCCCACGTGGTTCAGCCAAGTTGTTTTCTCAACTTACCCTCAACCGGCTTTTCTCTGGTCAAGTGAAATACAAATGTGAACCAAACGTCAAATTGCAATAATTATTATCAATAAAAACACCACTTTAACAACATTGTGCGATTCGCGCAATTCAAGTCAATTCTCGTAAATTAAAGCCCGAAACAGACAGTTCAACAATCACAAACGTCACAACGTGAAATTGTTATTCTTACTTGCTCTGCTGGCGGCCAACTCTTCCAGACCACCCAATGACTCTGTACTTCCCATTAAACGCTTCTTCTGAAGAGAGCGTCGCTTGCGACTCATCTTTTTCATTCTCACGGGTCGACCGTTCGAGAATTCATCCCTGTCATCCAACACGGTGTCCGAATTTTGACGTTTTATCCTGCGAAAAACCACACATTCACATTCAATACATTTCGCCGTGAGAAGCTGCTCGCCTAAAACCTCTTTTAAAAGCGCCTTTGACAACTTTTTGTTGGTTTTCTAGGTTTCTCAGCCAATCAGAAAAGGAGAAAGAGCACGTGCTCTCTGCCATGCATGTGGCCACTTGTGTGCCACCAAACAATGAAAACACTGACACGATAAAAATGTTAGAAACAAAAAGAGCCCTTCCATGGCTTTGTGAATACAAATAAGCAGCAAAGTATATCTGCAACCTTCTTCTAAACTGAATGTTGAGCCCGCTTATTTGCTGCTGTGAATAAAACTTTCAGCAACAATCGAGCATGTTACCAATTAAAATTTTAAGCAAACAAAAGAGACAATTGTTAGATCTATCTCCAAGGCTATTTTCATTACAATAAGGAGCATTCGCTTCATTTACGGAACAAAATATTCTGAGCCACAAGTTAACGATAGAGAGCAATTAAACCATGTTAAAGAAATCTCATATTCAAGCGAGATCTCTAAAAGTATAAAAACACCTTTGGCAAACTTGAAAATGCTTCAATCCATTTTTTTTTTTTTTTTTTTTTTGTTAACGAAAATTTTACTCCCATTCCAAGTTATTTTCAATTCGTAATGACGTATTTCCGAAATTTGTCAAGTAGGTAATTATAAAGGGTAAAGTTTGCATACGAGCTTCGGTTTCTGTAGCAGGAAGCAACTAAGAGTATTTCTACTCCCCCCTGGATGGGATGCTAGTCCATCGCAGGGTTATTTGCCGGTAATCATTTATACACCTGGGTGGAGACAGGCACTGTGAGAAGCAACGCTTTTTTCGTTTGGTCCGGATTGAAGACAGTCAAGATATAGATAGTTGAAGATAGTTAAAGAAAGTTATAGAAAGTTAAAGAAAGTTAAAGAGAGTTAAACTTCCGAGTGATTCAGTTCTCGCGGAGTATTGTTTGCCTTAGGGTTTAGACTAGGTAAGGAAAATTAAATATTGTTAATGACCTACCTGATAAAGTATACAGCTGCTAATACAATTAGAACAATGAGGAGAACTAGAACAATTCCCACAACGAGACCAATGTTTGTGGAAGATCCAGGTGGTTCTGTGGGACTGACAGCGGCCGCTAAAAAAATGAGGAAAAATATATCAATAAAACAACAAAACAAATGAAATAAAAAGAAAGAACAACAACAACAAAGACAACGACAAACAAACAAAGAACAACAAGGAAAAAAAAAATGAACTACATCAAACACAGAAGAGGGAAAAACGAACTATGTTTCCAGAATAGTGATTCAACAAGGTTTGCTAAATTTCATTCGCTATTTCGTTTAGCAAAACGCATCTTGCAACGAAAAGTTTTACAAGCCATGAATGGAAAGCCTGGATGCTAGTCCATCACACCAAGAGTAACATGGTTTAAGCCAATTTCTACACTCACTGAATCACACCTCTAAGCGCTGTCCACGAATAGTTGTTAAGTTAAGTCGAGTCTTTACCTAGTCCAGGTTATACACGGTCTTCCTGCAATACCCAACTTAGCCGGTCATTGTGGCTCTCTCATGGCCACACTTTTCAAAAATATATTTCCCGCGTGTTGGTGAAAGCCTGTGGTATATTTGGACTATAAAACGCTATCATTTTGTTACGTAGTTGCATTAATTCCAGGAGATAATATTCTAAAACAGGGGCAAATTGTGAAATAGCACCCAGTTTCCTTATCGCATTCAACGTATATCAAAAGCTACATTCTAAGCAGCATACGATACCTGTTTCTACCGGTTCAATCCAAGAACTTGAGGTGTAAACATCCTACAAACAGAAGAAGTAACCAAGCGGGTTAAAACTCCTCAAACCCGTATCGTATCTTTTGTCTTCGCACCTTTAAACCTTTCCCGGTACTGGAAAGCTCCAATCACGCTCACGATACAGATATACACCGAGACGGGTAAGGTTTCGGGTAAATTACGGGTAACATTCACGCGCAAAGAACAACCAAATCGGAGCTAAAACGGGCCTGCGACAAGCTACAACACCATAAAGTAATGGATACAGGCTAGAGTTACATTTTAGCCTTTTATCTCGCAGGAGAAAATTTGAACGCGCCAAGGAACGCGTCTGTTTATTTACATGTAGGCAGCTAAACCTTTTGAGTGTCCTTGATACTAACCTTGTTAACATAGGCTCGCTGAAACACGGCATAGAAAGTATTTTCCTCGAGGGGACCGTTATAGTATTCAATGGTATTTTCCTCTCGCTTCCTCCGTCGACCCAATACATCTTCGGAGACCTTACTGCTACGTGAACCGTCGCCCACAACAAAGCTCTGGTAACGATCGAAGTCACTCGCGTGAAATTCAGCTGCGATGTAAGGCACCAACTGTGGTTTCATCTTTCGGGCCTCTTCGTACGTGTACAGGTCTTCCACTTTGTAAAGTTCAGGGTCTTGGGCGCGCACCGGTTGGTCTCTGTTGTCTGTTGCGAGCTCTCGCACTATCACTTGGTAGTAGCTAAAACATAAGTAGGATAAAATCGACGAGAAGTTTTCGTCTAAGTATAGTGAAATGTCTGTCCGCAGCGTCCGTCAGTGTGAACTCGACAGCAATGGGTCAAAGCGCTTGATCCAAATGGCATGATACATTACAAGCTTTACATGAGTCTGAGTAACGAGAATAAATAAACAGACCAACTCTTGTATGAAAGAATGGACATAACTTCTGTTGTTTACAAGAGTAGGTCATGTATACATTCACTGTCGTGTCTTTTAACATCACATACAGCTGGAAAAGCAAACCTCTGGTTGTCATGAGAACAAATGCTACTACAGGCGAATAAATGTTATATTTAACAAATAAGCATGGTTTTGTCTTTTCAGTCACTCTGTCAGTCACTTAGTCAGTCATTCAGCCATTCAATCGGTGGTCAGTCAGTTATTCAATCAGTAGCCAGTCAGTCATTCAATCAGTAGCCAGTCAGTAACTCGGTCAGTCAGTCGGCCAGTCAATCAGTCAGTCAGATAGTCAATCAGTCAGTCGATCAGAAATTTAGTCAGTCATTCAGTCAGTCATTCAGTCAGTCAATCAGTAGTTAGTCATTAAGTCCATTGTCCGTCCGTCCATCCGTCTGTCCGTCAGCCAGACAGACACAGTCAGTCGTTAGACAGTCAGTCAATCGATAGTCAGCCATGCAGTCAATCATAGAGTAAGTCACACAGTCAATCAGTCAGTCAGTCAGTCGGTCAGTCAGTCAGTCAGTCGGTCAGTCGGTCAGTCAGACAGACAGTCTGTCAGTCAGTTAGTAATGCAGCCTAGCTCATGATCATTTTAATCATATCGAGTATTCTTACCGTACAACACCCTTTTCATTTGACGCTTCCGTCAAGTCCACTCTGAAAGAGAAACTTTCAATAGTCTCTTTATCAGGCGGCGCTAATGTGCCAAGGGGAGGAGGAACTGAAAAGAAAAGAAAAAATTCATTTCTACTTGTGCCTTAAGTAATTTCATTCAGTCATTTAACCACTGCAAGCTACTGCGAACATAACACAGCTGCCTAATATAAGAAGATTTAGTTTCCAATCTTTATAAGAAAGACTGATTTTCCAGTGGAGAATTAACAAAATTCAATGAGCTTTCAATGGAGGTTTCAACAGCATACGCAAAGACAACACTTTTTCGAAGATTAAACAATTCAGCAACATTTTTTGGAAGACTCCACGGTCAATTCTAGGACTTAACAACGACATTTATAGCTAATTGTACCTTTTGTGTACGCCTCGGCGGCATATCATATTAGGCGAGTTTGGTCGAGTCATGGCTTGTGTTTGGGGAGAAGTAGTCGAACCAAATTACCCATGGACAGACCAAAGGAGCCCGATATGCCACCGTAGCGTATCAAAAAGGTGAAGCCACGTATCTTCTCCACCCAAATTTGGCAAAAGATCTGACGATATCAGATCAGTAACATGACAACGCAAGAAATCAGCACGGAAGGGGCTTCTGGTCCATGGCTAATTGCGAATTTGGGTAAAGAACACTTACACCCTGAGTACTTTCCAAAGAAATAACCACGTACACGTGCACGCAAATTAAGAGACTTTTCAATGGTATTAATATTGAATTCTAGAACTTCCCAGCGATATCGCTGCATAAATGCAATGACTTAGTTGCGGCATTAGTAAAAGCGTTTCAGGTGTGCGAGATTCAATCCGATTTCATCCTAAAGAAATAGCTTATTGGTTGCTACTTTCGAGCGAAAATTGAAACAAGGAGTACACCAATCAGAACAATACAAAGATTTTTGCGGAGCTGCGTCATCTTACGGGCGAGAAAAGAAAAAAAAACAAACGTCTGCGACCTAAATACCGGGTTCTCACTGACAGACCCTTGGAACTAGTTCGGAACGTATGTTTTCTCAAGGCACACAAAGAAGACAAAACTTTGACGCCGCGCTCACCTCCAGGCTTGGTCCAACGCTCAACCCAGTTAGAATACGCCCCCAAACCTCCGCTTGATTTACAGGCCACGAGCATCCGATAGCATCGATAAGGGTGCAAGTCTTTGATGGTTTGCTTGCGTTCATTGATGTTGTCATGGATATTCTTTTTATCCGGTTCGTCGCATTCGTAGTACATGACGACATATCCCAGGATGATACCGTTTGGCTCTAGAGGCGGGTCCCAGGTTAACGTGAATGACGTAGAAGTCGCGCTGTCGGTTTTCACATTCCGTGGCGGTCCACTAGGGACTGGAAACAACAGAATCACCAAGAAGCATCAGGTTAGATGAATTCCATAATATATAATTGGTTACAATTCAGATTCCAAAACTTGTCTAGATGTAAACGGGCCAGAGAATGGGGAAGAAGGTTGCANAAAAAAAAAGAAAAGAAAAAAAAAAAACATTAAAACATTATCACATGACTGGAAATAAACTTTATTTCTGTCAACACCGCTCCCCGCCCCCTCCCCATCAAAAAAAAAAAAAAATTAAATTAAATTAATCAATTTGACCCGTTTGAATCTTGTCGTGGTTCAGCATAAACATTTCCCTCCACCTACTCAATCAATGAGACGTAAAATCTAAATTAACGGTCACCTGGCGCTCGCTAAGTGCTCTTCACGTGTCTCTACTCCGAGTGCGCGTTAATGCATTGTGTTCACTTACGTTTGTTGTGACTGGCCATTCTATTACAGTTGGTTCGGCTTTGATACAGTGCAATCAGTACGCCATGTTCGAGTTACATTGTACCTCGTGCCTCGGTTTCAAAACGAGTCTTCGCGCAAAACCTTTCATATGAAAATGAAATTGTTCTGCATGAAAATGAACCTGTAGGGGGAACACATTTTTAGGCGAATGATTTCGAGCGAAGACTCTTTCTTAGGCAACAGGGAGAAGCAACAGGCAGCTCGGAAATGGACCATTCAAAATGTGCTCTAAATTGCACGTAAACAGATTCGTCTAAACAGCGTTGACGCTCGCAACACTGAATGCCTACTTTTTGATTTTCATGAAGGACTATGATTTTTTCATGCACCATTGGTAAATTTACGTGTGAAAGCAGTGAAGTACATACATGTAGCACTGGTTTGCCCTTCTCGATCAAAAGGGTGCCCGCTGAGATTCTTTCTCAAGTTGTATGGCACCACCGAAAACGTGTAATTCGTAAATGGCTTTAAACCGCTGACAAGTTTATAATGCACACTTCCTGGTATTACGAAGCTTTCAGCGGTCGTCGAACCAGCGGATGATTCCCAGTAAAAGAAATAATAACCGATCTCGCCATTTCTTTTTTCAGGTGGAAGCCATCTCACTTCAATGGAATAGCTTGTTATCTTCTCTGGTGGAATTGATACCTCCCTAACTGGAGATGGTGCTAAATTAAGAGGTAAAAGAGGGAAAACACGAATTCAAATTCACTGGACAATGAAAATCAGGAAATTATCGTATATGAAGACTGAGAACCAGTCGAAAACGGCAATAGATCATTTTACAGTTGTCTGCTCAGTGTCCTGGCCTTTGAATGGCAGCGAGGCTGCAGGTGACCTTGTTTTTGATAGAGCTCACTGCTTTTGTTGTGTAAACCAAGTTATTCTTATGCTAACTATTAACTGTGCATTTAAATGAGAAAAGTGGAGAGGTCTGTATCAAAGAAAGGTCACCTCCAGCCTCGCTTGTATTTATAGGCCAGGTAACTAAGCACACAACTGTAAAATGGCCTCGTCCCACTGCGTTAAGCTGTACGCATTTCACGCTTCACTCTTCACGCTTCACACTTTACGCCTCACACTTCACGCTACACTCTTCACGCTTTACGCTCCTCTCTTCACGCTCCACGCTTCAAGCGTAACGCTTCACCCTTCACGTCGTTTCCCCTCTCCCCCACCCCCGCAACCATTACCAAGAAACACGCAATTTAAACCCTTAGCGCCTAGTTAGTGGTTACTGAAAACTGTTTCAAACACACTCGCACAATAATCCCACCCAGTCCCAGGAAGAATGAAAGGAAATCACCCCTTCCATGTGGCTCACCTGTCTCGTCAGTCATGACCATTACCCTACTCATCTCTCCTCCGCCAGCGCTCGTGAGGGCCTGGACAGCAACGTTATAGTGATTGTACGGCTCCAATCCTGACAGTGTAAAGTTTGTGCGGAGACCGGCATCCTTTGGTGAAGGCTCGCCCGTGTCTTCTGTCGGACGGCTAAACACCTAAAAAAAAAATTGAACAGGGAAAACCAGTGAACAACAAGCTGAACAATTGAACAGGGAAAACCGGTGAACAACAAGCTGAACAATTGAACGGGGAAAACCGGTGAACAACAAGCTGAGCAATTGAACAGGGAAAACCAGTGAACAACAAGCTGAACAATTGAACAGGGAAAACCATTGAACAACAACCTGAACAAGATTTTATATCAATACTTTTGGTCGCAAGTGCAAAAACAGTTCATAGCCGTGCAATATCAACATATTCCATCTATACAATATCCTATTTATTGACAGACTAGTGGCAAATTATCTACATTAACATGCACTACGGATGTAGTTTTAATGAACCAATGCAAAAGTATCAGTTGTCCGCTGCATCGTTGCCTACTTCCGTTGCAAGTGGAAACTATCAATTACCTGCTTCATAACCGTGAGAATTGTCCTTCTCATGTTGAAGATCAGAGGAGACAAATGGCCCTTTGGTAATGGTACTCAACTCTACTTTTTCCGATACGAACAGACAACAACTAAGGCTTCTCTCTTGAGTGGAATACTTCGACCAATTCAGCTGGCCAATAGACATTTTTACTAATTAACAATTACACTATTCGCTCTAGATTTCTAGCTGTCACGTGATAGGTATCAACGCTGAGGGCCGAATCAATCATCACCTCATAGAAATCAAGAGTGAACAATCTATTCGTTTCATGAATTCTGACTGAATTTCATTCAAAAAAGGATTTCCAAACATTTCCTTAAATCTTGAGTATTATAACTTAACGCGTGGATTGAATTGTCCTTTGAAACTTCCATCTGTTTAAACGCGCTAATCAGATTATTGAACATTTTTTTTAGGTTTTAATGTCGCATAACGGCCAATTTCCTTTCTTCAGTCCTCTTGGAAATTGAATTGTCCAGTAATGTTGCCAAATCTTCCTCCCAAACATGGAAGAAACGAGAAAACGTCGCAGTTACGTGGGCGACATCCAGTCATTGCGTACACATGGCTGATAGAGTATGATAGCTCAGCAAATCAGATTGCAGATTCGCATTATTATACACTCAGATACAATTTTACAATTGAGTAGAAAGAGGTACCACGAGACTCGAGTGTCTTGTTCAAGACCTCCTCTCAGTGCCTCCAACTGGGAACCCAACCTACATGCCAATAAGGCATTTAGCTTCAAAGTTTGTCTTTCTTGGAGCCTTAATAGGTTACCTGGTATCCTTTCAGAATGCCATTAATGCTCGCTGGTTTCTTCCACGTGACAAAAATGGACGTTGCGCTGGTATTCCAAGCTCTTAAATCTTGCGGTTTCGAAGGAACTGGTAACAAAATAATGAGCGAAATTAAAATCCAACTTCAACAGTTTCGGAGCTGCCTAACCAACGAAAAAATTCCGGTTGCAAGCCCTGGACTTATACAACTTCAGAAGGAGTTTATTGTGGAAATATATTGTTCGACAGGCACTTTACAGTATTCTTATCCAAAGATGATGACTCAGTTACGCGTGCTAAACGTTCACAAACAAGTACATACCTCCTTCAGCTGTTTTGTCGACTCTGGTGAAAAACGGCCCCAGGCCTATTGAGGTACCGGCAGCGAGGGAAACAGCATATTCAGAAAATGCAGCTGTAGGAGTAAATGGGTAAAAAAATATCATCAAGCTGACACAATAATTAGCAATTTGTTCCGGCATTTGTTCGGGACCTTACTTTTGCTGTTGTAGATGTTGATGTTGATGTTTTTGTTGTCGTTGTTGTTGCTGTTGTCGTTGTTGTTGTTGTTGTTGTGTATTTCCTGTTGTTGTTGTTGGTGGTGGTGTATTTTGGTTAGAAAAGGGGGCTAGCTTTAGAAGCGAAACGCAATGTTTCAATGGTCATCGAAAACAAAAATAATAATACTAATGATGTGGAAAAAACCCTCTCCTAACTCCGGTATGCTTTACGCGAAGTCTTACGCTTAAGTTTCATAGAGGATTTTATTGGAGGGGTTGATCGACGGAATTAATTATGATAAGAAATACTGTAAATGTACATACAAGTTCAAAGTTACATGTATCTGTTAAATTTATTTAGTACAATGTACTAGTATATCTCACCTGTTAAACTGTGACAAATGCAATCAAAATGCAATCCTTAAGACTCGTTACAAAGTTACATTAAAACTCATTGCCACTTACTCAGATTACGAATCTCATACCGGCTCGCACCACCATTCAAGGAAACACAAGTTTTATTGTACTCCGCAGAAAGAATCCAGCATAGTCGAAACGTTGTGATAATACCATTCGGCTCCGTGGGCGGCTCCCAGGTCACTTCTAAGGAATTGGTCTTTGAGCTGACATTTACGACGACTGGTTCACCAGGCACTAAAAAAATAAGAAAGCTATCTTAGCAAATAAACAGAAGTTTCAGATAGAGACCCTTACAATCCAAGGTGCTCAGACATGTAACTCCGGTTTGCGTTGTAGCCTAAAGGGACTAGAAGCACTAGTTTGTCATGCGTGACAATCTGCTGGTACCAATACACGATATATACCTGGGTGAAGAAAGAACTTGCCAAGGTATATACTCGTCCCTTAGAACGCAAAGTGCCGAGCAAAATGCCGACATTTAACAGCAATAACCTACGCTAAACGACATTCATAAATTTCATTGCTTAAATTTCGTGAAATCGCGAGTTGGGAGGCAAATGGCAGACACTATCCCGAATTCGAGTAGCCAATCAGAAAGCGTAGAAAAACACTATCCACTGTTTTGGTATATACTAATTAAATTGATCAAGGGTTTAGTACAAAAGTTGGGCTAACATCGGTCTAAAACCCGTTTTTTACATCGAGGTTTGGCTTGGTTTTGGAGACATTGCTGACCCTCTCTATATTGTTCATAACCTATCCTCTCATTTACGGCCTCGATGATTTTACATGTAAGTTCAAAAGATCAAAGCTTATACAGAGAGCTTGTGACGTACGTTTAGATTCAACTCAACCATTACCACTGTGAAGGTTGCCACACACTTACCGTCTTCAGAAGTGGTATTTCTTACATTATCTACACTAGGCGGGCCGACACCAATCTTATTAACCGCCCGAACAGTGAAGGAATAATTGGTGTATTTTCTTAGATTTCTCACAAGGATCTGCGTGGCATTGTCAGTGGTGTTGATGGACGATTCGCTGTCAAGGGAGCTGTATTTCACGATATAATGAGTGATGATTCCATTCCTGTCCAGTTCACTAGGAGGGCTCCATCCAACGAGAATTGAGGTCGATGACATTGTAAGTGCTTTAACATTCAGAGGAGGACCAGAGGGCTCTAAAGACAAGACGAATAAAACAATTATTTAAGTAAATCTCTTCTTTTATGTGAACAACAGACAGTTTTTGTGACATCTTTATCTCAAGTTGCCTTGATGCTAATTACGTGCAGCGTTTTCAAGATCTTGCCCCACGAGCGAGGTGTCAGAATAGACTCTAGGTGTTGCCTGGTTAGGCACTGAATATTCTTTCCGGCTAAGTAAAGCTTGAACTGCCATGCCGCTGTAGTGAAATCCAACGGTCTATCTTACAGGTGCATTATCGTTTAGTTTAAGGGCGAAAAAAATTGCCACTGCCTGTGTAAGAATGACCCTTTCCAGTAGGGAAAAAAGTCACTCAACATATACAAATACTTAGTCTTTTATGTGGAATGAATTTAATCGATGCAAACTGACAGCATTGTTCGTAATGTTTTCCGAGGGAAAAGGCCTCGCTAAAACTGAACATGGGTTTTGAATGAGGTAAAGCAGTTTAAATATCAGTTTCAGTAAGAAAAAAGGCGATTGCCCATATTGCCGGCCAGGGAAGAAGCGAGTACTGTAAACAATGAAAGTTTCACCTGCTGGGTGTGTAGTTTCAGTAGCATTGATTGCTGTACTAATCCATAAATGCTTGACATTGTATGCCTGTAACATGAAGGTGTAAGTGACAAATTCGTGGAGCCCTGCCACAGTATGCTCCAATGAAGGACCGTCGTATGCCAAACGTTTGGAACCAACTCCCTCGCTGCTCAGCCAGTAGTACAACCTGTAATTGATCTCGCCATTTGGGTAAAGCGGCGTTTGCCATGTCACTTTGATGGCTGTGGAGTTGATTGTCTTGGCGACAATATTTACAGGAGGTGAAGGCGCTAGAACAACATGAAAAGATGGTTAAGCAATAAATTTTTGCTATGCTCTGTACACGTCTCGGAATTTTACTTGACTTTCAAACGTTAAATCGTGTTTGACTTTTAAATTTACTCCGAACTCTTTATGAAATTGAGCATTCTAAACTTTTGTCTCCTTCGCAGCCATTATTTTTAATCGTCCACGTGGAAAGGCAGAAAGAAGAATTCCATGATAAGAATAACACCTCGAAACAACAACAAAAACAAAACTTATTGCTAGTATTTATTTCACTTTAAACTGTAAATCATGTAAGTAAAAAAATATTTGGGAGGCTACAAAGAACAACTCTTGGGCACACATGTAATCAGTATAGGTTAGAAGTTACCACTTGCCCGAAGGACAAGTTTGGAAATTGATTTTCTTTGCACTCTGGGACCAAATACAAAACCAGTTATGGCTTGAAGTACTTTTATTCCGCACTTCTCTCTGGTTACATTCTGATCACATTCTTTTTAACCGCATTCACTATATAGCATCCTTAGTTGTCTTCGGTCTGAACTGTTGCTACTTCGGGATTATGTTAGAAAAGTACATGTATTGACCCGATGTTTGATTTGTAATTTCAAATTTATTCTGTACATCAGAAAAAAAGTGAGATTAGCTCCAAGGATTTTTCTTTAACTTTCAAAATCACTTACTGTCTTCAGAAGTTGTGTTATGGACTGGTTCACTTTCTGGACCAGCTCCTACCACATTCCAAGCTTTTACTGTAAACCAGTACTTGGTGAAGATGGTAAGGTTTTTCACTTCGATGCTGGTGCTATTGTCAGCTGTATCCAGGCTTTTTAACTGGCTGGATTGTGATCTGTAACGTACAGTATATCGCAAGATGACGCCATTCTGCTCCGAAGGCAGAGGAGGACTCCATTTAACTAGTATCGACATTGAAGAAAGAGTCCAGGCAAGGATGTCTTTTGGAGGACCTGTAGGCTCTGTGGGTAGAAAAAAAAGGAGGTGAGGGAAAGCGCTGAGCAATAATTAATGAAACTATGTACAGTGTAAGAGTGACAATTAATTAAACTAAATAACTAACAGACTGACTGCCTATCTATCTCTCCCTTTGTCTGACTGTCTGACTGTCTGATTGACTGACTGACTCACTGACTGACNTAATGAGAGAAGAAATCGGGGCTCTTTGTGAAAACGACGAAGAAGACAGAGCAGAACTCAACAAGTGGCGCCAGCTGAGAGGCAATGAAAGAAACCACAAACTGGGAACGGGTTGCAAGAAAAATCAAAGACGACATTCAAGACGCGTTCGAAGGGATTGAAAGAGAAGACGACCCTGAATACCCGAAATTCTTGAACGGGTTTCTTTTAAAAGGTGTGAAAGGCATGGTAAATAAACGCCACAGGTGGCATCCAAGTCTTGAGTCTTACGAACAGCTTCGCGACGAACTCAAGCAAGAAGAAAACCTGCTCCCTTTTGCAGAGTATTTTGTCAGAAGCCTGGACGAAGGGTTTGCGCGTTACAGTGAATACAAAGACAAAGGATTTAGCAAAACGTTCAAGCTTGGATGGTTTTACAGCGCACCGGCGAATAAAAACAGGCTAGCGCGCCCCTGCCGCACTGGCGGCACAGTCGGTAGTCGCACAGAAGACCGATCCCGCAGCCTCTGCATGGCTCTGGCTCTTTCATTCCTTTTTTCAGCTGGTAGTTGTGCTGGCCGCAGTACGCCCCGTAACAGCGCTTTCCACAGCTTTCTTTCCGGCCCCGCTTCAGCCACCCGCACTTGTTTGGCGCTCGTGCCTTCCCCGCTCCAGCCATATTACACCCGGCTCGCCCCTTTCTAACATTCCGCACTCCCCCGCGAGGGGCGGTTGAAACCCGTCAAAACCAGTTCTTTCCAGTAGCCGCGGCCGCCTTGCGTGGCTTTGCGCTGCGTGGGGGTTCCTCTGTTGTTAGTAGTACAGTGGGAGGTAAACAAATACTATTTTCAATGAGGGGGTTGCATTTAACCGTTTCACAGCCCCCACATTCATCCGGCCCGAGCCTGTGAGGGCCGGACTTGAATGTGGGGGCTGTGATAAGGTAAAATAAAGCCCCCTCATTGAAAATGGTATTTGTTTACCTCCCACTATACTACTCTGACTGATTGACTGACTGACTGATAGACCGACTGAAAGATGGACGGACAGACAGACAAACAGACAGACAGACAGACTGACGGACGGACTGCAGGACTGCAGGACTAACGGACTGACTGATTGACTGACTGTAAACATGAAAACTTCAATCAATCTTAAAACATAACATTTATAGACCTGCAGGATGAGTAGTTTCCATGACAACCACTGGCTTGCTTTTCCAGCTGTGCCTGATGTTAACAGACACGACAGTGAATGTATACATGACATACTCTTGTAAATCAGCTGCAACATAAGAAGTGTCCATTCCTCGATGCACCACTTGATCTTTTTGCTCATCCTCTTGACTCAGACGCATATAAAGCCAGTAAAGAATAATACCATTTGGATGCAACGCTTTGATCCAGGAAACTTTTATTGCCGTCGAGTTCACAGCCACAGCTGTGACGTTTCGTGGAGATGACGGTTCTGAAAGTTATATTAAAAGTAAATTACACAACAAGAAAACACCGAGACCAATCTGCAGTCAGGGTAACTAGAGTAATTTGCCAGGAATAGGCTCTTCTCATTTAACTGAAAATTTTCAGGCTACAACGCACAACTGCCGAATTTGAGCCACCTCATCTTTTCACATTATATTTTCAGGCAAGGATAATTTCCACTCGTTTGATATGCAGATGATATCAAATCTAAGCCCTTTAGAGAAGGTACATGTAATAAACACTAAGCTGACTAAACATTAGCCTAAAAACACTAGGGAATGGTAATCTGGCAGTTTTGACCATCTCCAACGTATAGTGTATAGTTTAACAATGCAAAATTCATTTCCTGATTAAATCTAGACGAACAAAAGAAAAACAAAAGTTACTTCCCAAAATTACAGCGAAAAGTCGGTCGCCACTAACAGGCCCTAACATTTATACTATATATTTAAAGTTTGCCGATTTTAGTTATACACCTCTTCAGAAATCCCGCGCCCAATTTGCAGTTTAATGCGACCAAAAACATGACAGATGTAGTAAATAACGTCTCTTATACCTGCTTCAAAAGTTCTGCTTATAACAGGACTACTGTAGGGGCCCACCCCTTCGTCATTAACTGCCTGCAACTCGAAGCTGTAATTAGTGTACGCCTGTAGACCAGTAATTGGTAATGTTGTTGAATTATTCTTCGTGTTTATCGTCGTGTACAAAGGATCGCCGCCGCGCATTTTAATTTTGTAACTTCTTATTTCTCCATTCTGTTGATCTACTCTTGGAGGCAGCCAGTTGAGAATGATGGATGAAGATGAATTGGTTATGGCATGCACACTCTGTGGAGGACCTGAAGGGTCTGGAGAAAAAGGAAGACATTTTTTAGTACGATATCAAACATGAAAGATGGTGCCTCGTCATTTCCAAATACAGTCGAACCTCCACTAACGGCCACCTCCCTATAACGGACACCTCTCTACAATATTTTGACTGTTAGGTATTTCTATGCTACAATAAGCATTATTTTAAATACAAAAATGTCGTACCACGAAAAAAAAACAGGTGCCATATTACACCCCTACCCCCCCCCCTCCCTTAACGACCACTTTTCTCTACCCGAAGGTGGCCGTTGTGGAGAGGTTTGACTGTTAAATTCCACGAGCAGTGGAGTATTTTTAACCAACTTCAAGGTGTCTAGAAATATAGCAAAATACTATCTAGATTGCTTGATGTATTCTCGATTGAAACTCAACTGCAGAGAACAGGGCGAACTAAAATCGCAGTTCCGAATACCGTCACATGGTTTCCAGACTTGTGACACAGTGTGAAACAGTATCCTTTCTTGGCTTCTTTGGCCCAATTTTATTATCATCCAAAATTTGATCTTTGACTTGCACCATACAGGCCTCCTAGTTTTGTCAACAACAAATGATCTGTTGGTGAAATTTCCCAAAAAGTCTGGTCTAGGCAGGCTTAATTCGTTGACGACTTCGTAAATCTCTGTGTACAATCTTTCATAACACCATGATATCTTGTTGTGCGCCCTCACTCGTCTTCTACTTGAAGGATACCTATACTGGACACAGATCTACATCATGAAAACGTAGATTTTTTTTTGTTTTTTTGTTTCTTTTGAATCCCACGTATCTTTCAGCTACTAGAGGAACTGGGTATGAGGAGAAAGCATCTTTTTACTGAAGCTACGATTCAATTTAGAAGCACATGTACCCAAGGCATGACCCCTTCAGTGTACTTGTACAGTGGAACCTCGCCTTACGGCCACCCAATTTACACGGACAGATTTGTGTGGCCCTTTGGTGACCGGATTAACGGAGTTCCACCGTACAAGAACTCGAAACAATAACTTACAATCTTGGTCTGTTTTCTCCGAGGTATCAATTGAAGAACTTGACAGATTGTATTTCACATTGTAAGCCACAACTTCGAAGGTGTACCGAGTGTAAGGCCTCAGGTGAGATACCGAGTGTTGAGTTGCGTTCCCATCATACACCAGCTTAGTCACTGCACTCAGTTCTGATGTCTTGTAAAACGACAATCTGTATTTTATTTTGCCATTAGTGTTTGCTGGTGTTTTCCAAGAAACTAGGATTTCTGTCGAGCTTACACTCTGGGCGGAGAGATTCTGAGGTGTCGATGGCCCTGAAAAAATGCAAATTCAGTAAAATAGTGTAATTTATCTCTGCCTATAAAGTCGATGAATTAGGCTGCAAACTACACCTAATTTGTAGGCGAGAAATACATATATTTTAGGACCTGAGTAGTATTGGGGACACATTGTACGTTCTCAGATTTGCTGGAGTACGTCACTTTGAGTTTGCACACATCAATCTAAGCCTCTAATAATAAAAAAAAAAAATAGTAACTATTCTATTTTTGTTTCGTTTTTTGTTTGTTTTGTTGTTGTTTTTCAAATCCATGCGAGTAATTGACCAAATGAAATGGAAAGTTCATTATTCTGAGGCCAATGATCTTCTTTGGGAGAGCTGTCAGGAAAATGGTTAGGTTTATCAAATTAATGAGAAGTGGCGAGTATGATGCGCAACCAGCTCTAGGCTCTGCAATGCAATCCAACAAGAGCTTTTATAGATTGCCTACAATCATGCTTAAATCTAAATAATTATGTATAAATACAGGAGTATGCTCACGTGCTTCATCTGTTAGTAGCTCAACACTCGCATGACTTCCTTCCCCTTTCCTTGTGAATGCACTGACGTTGATCGCATAAAGGGTGAAAGGATTTAGCGATGCCAGGACTGCACTACTGTTTAGACCAACATCTTTGGTAATTACTGATTCCGAGGAAAATTTTGCAGAATATTTAACCTTGATTAAATAAAATATGTTAAAATTAATAAAAGGCAGCAGATTAATTTAATCCCATCACTGTCATTTAAGATTATAATGAAAAACTGCTGTGCAGAAATTATCAATCTTACACAATGCATTCAACATTACTGCAAAATGTATTTAAATATTGAATTTGTTAGTTCCAGAAAATATCCATACCCACTCCATGGAAGATCATTAGAAATTCCAAGGGAGTGGGGAGTTCAAAAAGCCAAAACCTTAAGGGAAGCATGAAATAAGCTGCTATATACATTCATGAATAATATTTCAAGGGATGGGAGAGTGGGTATGGATAATTTTTTTCTGAAACAAAACAATAAATTTACTATTTAATATGTAAAATTTATTACGATTATGTAAATACTATTTACAACTTATGAGGTCATTTAAAATGTAGCATCATACACTGTAGGTATACAACGCCTAAAAAAACACCTCTAGAACAGACCAATTTCGATATATTAAAATTCAGCCTAAAACAATAGACCTCAGTACTCAGGCTCTGGGGAATAACTACAGAGTTTATGGGGTTTATTCTCCAGAGGCTCATGCTGAGGCCTATTGCTTTAGGCTGAATTATAATATATTGAAATTGGTCTACTATTTGTTGTGCATGCACACAGAACTAAACATTGCATATATGGGGCCACAGTTAAACACACCCATGACGGCCTTTGCATACATTATGCACCTATGATATATGCACCTACATGGCAGTATATTACATGGAATATACTGTAGATAATTATGTAATTATGAAGTATTAGAGGCAGGCAATTCACGCAAAAGGCCAAGCAACGTAGTTCCTGGTTTTGGATAAAATGTGTTCCTGTAATAAATTAACTTAGAAATGTACACAGGTGATTTTACTAAGTTCATACGTCTAGCAGTGCTTCTTGCAACTAGTAATTGAAGGACGGTGCCTACTAAATACAAAGGTTTTTGCATCAGGTCAGGACTTCATGGAAAAAGTAGATCTTTGCAAGGGCTATTGGAATCCACAAAGAAAAACTGGGTAGTCACGCATTTTTTCGAGATAATTAGCCTTGAATCTCAACAAAAATGCTGACATCAGCTTTTTTCTGAAAAAAGAATGAAAGGATATTTCTTCACAGATTTCCTTAGAATTTGCCTTTACATACAGAAAAGCAAACACATTTAAAAATATCTTAAAACTGCATGGTAAATGGTAAACATAAAAACCATTTTTGATATGACCTCGCTTGTTTAGTAACAAAATCGTTGCAACAGCACTTTCAGCGTCTCTGACAGCCTTCCTGTGGTGAAGCTAAAATACAGCCTAAATATCTTTTGCTCACAACCAGAAACTAATAACATGTTGAATAGGCTTGCCACTTCCGTTTGACAACATAAAATGTAGGGGTAACCACGTGTTTTTTAAAGTTGTTGATCTTTTTTGAAAACTTTTACCGTGCCTGTTACATTTTTTCCTGTCACCTCCCCAGTAAGTGAAACATTTGCGTTTCTCCCACTTGTTTTGTGCGCACGCTACGCCATCAGCAGGTACATGTTAACAGTTGGATTTCGGTATAATTTTCAACAGATAACAGCTAGTTTTTCAGCACTAGCTGGAACATGTCAACAATTAGTTGTTAGCAATATTCTGCTATTCTGGTGTTCATGGTTTAAGTACAGGTTCATTAAACTTGATTTGGTCACAGTTGGAACATTTTGCTTTCATTTTAGTCGTGCACTTGGTAACCTAATTGATTGTGTCAACGTCAACCCCAGCACAGGTGTAGCACTTAGACCATGCCTTGCGTGATGCGCAGAACGTGTGCGCACTAACAAAAGTACGTACCACTCTTAAGATTCAACAATTAATTTCACCTACATGTACTAGGTGACTTCAAAGTATAAGAACTTTAAATAATAAATTACAGTTATATCGTCAATTCTCATAGATTGCTAAAATTGTATCGAAGAATGGGATTCATCCTGCTCTAATTACATATGTACATGTACCTCACATTTTACTCGAGTTTGGTCCTTCAGAGTATTAGGAACAGTAACATACGCTACATGCAAAGTCCCTACATGATGAATCTCCTAATTCTCAACACCTGTCTGCTTACACATTAGTAATGATACATGTAATGTATAGAGAAAGTCAATGCTGATCATCTTTGGCACTCTTGGCAACAACAGGATAAAAGTGAATGGAGGTATTTCTACACGTACCTGATACTGAACAAGGTGACCATTTATCTCTGTTGGCTCAGTCCAATTCACAAAAATTGCAGTGGAATTTACAGCCTTTGCAAACACTTGGCGTGGCTGACTAGGAACTGAAAAATGACATACAATGCGTAAGGAACTTTTGAAAATGCTAAGTACTTCTCAAGGGGCATCAACTCAACTCTGACCATACAAGTCATGTAGACTTGCAAAATTTGTATAAAGTTCTACACTACATAACTGTAGACTGTACTGCACTAAGCTGCATGTCGACAGGGATTTAGTTACATGAGCAGCAAATGAATGTGATCGCTAAGTTTGACTATCAGGGAAACTTTAAATTTGACTTTGATAGTATACATACTCAAAGACTCTAAATGTTTCTTTGTTGTTGTTGTTGTTGTTGTTTTGTTTGTTTGTTTGTTTGTTTTGTTTGTATTTTGTATCACTTTTTATTAATTGCCTACATGTAACTTACATGATTATTAACTAATCAATTAATCAATCAATAAATCAATTTAATTCAATCAATTAAAATTGATTGTCATGATTAATCAAGAATGATCAATTTACTTTTTGAAATTAGCCTGTACAGTGACAAATTGCAACTGACTACTGACTAGGACACACATGGGAGAACACCTTGATCTTTTTAAAAATGTTATGAATCAAGATGCGCAGTGTAAATGTGTAGGGCTGCTCCCTGGCTAGCCCTTAATCACCCCACCCTATCCCCCCACCCCCAACTCTGTGCTCTTCCCCCCACCCAACTCTCATACCATTGGTCCAAGTCAGTCATTTTTGTTTGCCACCCCTCAACCTCACCCTGACTTATCGTAACTTTATGTGTTATTAATAGTTCTCTAAGTGTACCACTGGCAAGGGATACTGATAACATTTAGGGTTATCATACCACGGTATTCTTTAATGAAAAATATAATTATGTGAGTGAACAAAACTTACCATCTTCACTGGTGCGTACAATAACCTTGTCACTAAATGGTCCTGGGGCAACCGTAACAGCACGCACTTTAACTTCATAAATTGTCCACTTGTCCAGATTCCCTACCGTGTAATTAAGGACTAGTCCAGCATCTATCACACTGAGGGACCCAACCTGATCTGTTCTCGGCTCCTCTGGTTCTTGAGTTGGTTCGAGTGGTTCAGTCACAGGTAAAGCACCACCAGGCGTGGTGGGTTTGGGGGTTGAGGATACAGACGTAAATGATGACAACAATGATCTGCCACTTGGCATGATAACAGATGAGCCAGCACCACGAAGTGTGTATGTTGTTGCAACAACTTTGCTTGACGGCAAAGTAGTCGGCTGTAAAGAAGTTGTCTTTCTAACATGGATCTCATATTTTTGTAACTTGCCATTTAGGGTTTCTGGAGGTGGTGGTTGCCAGGCAACCAAAATTTCTTGTGAGCTAATGGCGTGTGCTGCTGTTCTTAGGGGAGCACCAGATGGAGCTGACACCAAACAGAAATGAATTATAAATAATAAATTCTTTATAAAAGTCATTTGACAAAAACTATGTGGGCAGCATTTCTACATGTATTAATTATTCTGTAGTTGTGATGAATATGGTCACTTTAACCACATGAATGTAAGTTACATGTAAAGGGGAATATCAAAAAGTTTGCAATTCTGGATAATTCGCATTCTTCAGAAAGTGTACTAGCTAACAATGGTTAATACACGTACATGTAACATGACCCACATTGTCCAATAATTAACCTATTGCTTGCTATCATAGGTCTGCAATGCAAGCAAAGGACTAATAGCTATGTACAATGTAGTTACAAAGCTCACAATATACAATGCAATGTGCCATTGCCTTCAGCAAGCGTTCTATGCCATAGCATCACCAGAGTGACACAATGTCTTTAGAAAGCAGAATGCCCTTTGCTTGTGGGGCTTAGTATCCTAGTGACAAGATCGATGCAAAGGCAACAGTTATATCGCTCTCTACATGCATTGTGCCATGTCCTTTTCTGCACGCATTGCATGCCTATGAAGAACCTGTGTTATACACACCTGCTTGATTAGTCAGAACCATTTTACTCTCTGTACTATAATTGCTTGTTTCAAAAAGGCCTCTTGCCATGACTCTAAATGTGTAGTTTGTATAAGGCTTCAACTGTATAATCACAGCTTCCTTCTGTGTTACGACACAATCCCCTGGCAGCACAGAACCATTGCACACGGCCTTTTTCCAAGTGACAAAATCCAAACTCAGCTCCACTGAAAAGTTGGAAACAATCTGGCCTGTTGTTGTATTCCAGTTGATAAGCACATTGTGAGCTGATAACACATTGGTTTCCCGAATGACTGGTGGGTCTGGAGCACCTGATAATGCAATCGCAATGTCATGAAAGTCAGCATGTTGTATGCATAACAGGCAGAGCCCAGCCCACAGCTGGATTTTTTCATCCACCAACAAAATAATCTGACAATAAGGTCACACGACAAACCAGAGCAGTTAAATACATGTACA